GAAATACCTGTCATATAAAATTGAAAAATAAAGATAATTGGAGTTTGTGGAAGTTCTAAAGAACAATTCAGTTAAAAACGAAGGATTTTTTGATGTAGTAACAGGAGAAGAAAGGAAGCCGATTGAAGGTACAGAGAAATAAGAAGAAAATTTAAAAAAATGGAGAATCAGAGACTTAAAAGCACAAGGAATACCAGTGGAAAGAATGGAGGAAGCTCCAATGACACACATCTTAAGCTGTGGAAATGCACATGAAATGTGGGAAAAATTACTCTCAGTGTACAAACATAAATCTGAAGTGAGTTTACATTTAGTAAGACAGAAATTTTTTAACGCTAAATATGAAGGAGAAAACATGTCAGTTTTTCTAGCGAAGTTGGAGGAAATTGCTAGCCAACTAAAACAGATAGGAGAATCAATTTCCGACCTAATGTTAATAACAAAGGTAATCATGTCGATGCCACAACCGTACAAACATTTTGTATCTGCATGGGAGTAAAAACCGCTTTTTTTTGTCAGGAAGAAAAGAAGAAAGGAAAATAATAAAATGTTTTCAATGCGGAAAATTTGGACATATTAAACAAAATTATAAAAAAAAAGAAAGAAACATCGCAAAAATTGCTGATTAAAGATCCAAGAAACAACAAACGTTATGAGAAACCTTATAAAAATGATAAAATCAATGCGTTCATAAGCGTAGCCCTACTAAGTGAGACAACAAATAAGACAGATTGTTTGGATATTGGACAGTGGTGCAAGTGATCACATGTGTTGTCAGGGAAAACAATTTGTAGAAATGTTAATATTGAAACCAACAAAGAAAATAAAAATTGGAGATGGAAATTTCTTAGATGCTACAGCAGTAGGAAGAATTCGGTTAAAGGCATTCAATGGAAAGAATTGGGAAATGGTAGATTTGAAAAATGTTTTGTATGTACCAGGTTTGAAGGTAAATCTATTTTCTTTGGGAATTACACTATCAAAAGGATATAAAATGACATCAGATGAAAAAATATGTAAATTTACTAAAGATAAGATATTTGTTGCGATAGCATTAAGAGATGGAAAGCTATATCGAATGAAATTTGAACATGTAGATTTTGGATATAGAGCAAATGTAGGAGTAACTGTAGATACCTTACAAGGATGGCATAAACGACTTGCACACCAATCAAAGACATACACGAGAGATTTGTTAAAGCGCCATAACATCAATCATAAAGATTCAGATTTTTTTTGTGAAGGTTGTATTGAAGGAAAGCAACATAGAAATGCACATCCAAGAAGTGAAAGTAGAATGAAGTTTCCAGGTGAAATGGTGCATGTAGGACCAATGGAACAACAATCGTTGGAAGGGTCAAGGTATTTTATGTTATTAAAAGACAATTTTACAAACTTTAGAACATTATATTTCTTAAAACACAAATACGAAGTGAAAGAAAAGTTAATCGATTTTATAAAGAAAGCAGAAAACGATATTGGAAGAAAAATAAAAATAATAAGGACGGACAATGGTTTAGAATTTGCGTGTAAAGAAGTTCAGGAAATTTTAACGAAACACGGAATCAGGCACCAAAGACAATACCATACACACCACAACAGAATGGTAGGGCTGAACGAGAAATGAGAACTTTTGAAAAATGAAGCAGTGAACACTCTCAATAAAATGACACTCTGAACAGATCAGGAAAAAGTACAATAAACAATAAAACACCTTATCAATTATGGTTTAATAAAGAATTCGACTTGGAAAATTTAAAAAAATTTGGAAGTGAAACCAGAAAAATTCAAAGATTTTGTTTTGCTAACCTATGAAGGAGCTTTAAAAGACGAAACCGATGTGTGGGAATTAGGATGTTCAATTATTGTGTTGTGACTTGTCAAATGCCTTTGATTGCGTCCAACATGAAGTTCTGTTGGATAAACTGGGACATTATGGTATAAGAGGTCTACCAAATCAAATGATTCGTAGTTATCTTAACAATAGAGTGCAGTGTGTAGAGTGGAAAGGTCGAACTTCGGATGTTACTAATATTATATCTGGTGTCCCACAAGGATCAATTCTGGGCCCAATGCTCTTTATTATTTACATAAATGATCTTCCTATTAACATCTCAGCTGATGGCATTTATATATATGCTGACGATACATCTTTTGTGCTAACGTCGAAAGATAGAGTTGAACTTGAAAATAAGTCAGAAGTTGTTATAGCCGAAGCTGCGGAATGGTTTGGGGCCAACAGTTTGAAACTTAATGTGGAAAAGACGCAAAAACTACTATTAACAACTAAAATTGCTGGACGGGAGCAAGAACCTATTAAATTCCTGGAGATATATGTTATGTCAAACCTAAACTGGAAGTCTCATGTTGAATATCTTCAAAGATGCCTGGTTCAAAGATGCCTAGAGCAACCTACTTTGCCAACTTTCATAGTAGGGCGTCGTATGGAATACTGATTTGGGGGAATTATCCGGCGGCCAAAGATATTTTCATTCAACAAAAGAAAGCATTACGGGTCTTAGCAGGTGAAAAGAGTACTGCTAGTTGCAAACCACTTTTTCAACAACATAGAATACTTACCTTATCCTCTATCTTTATCCTAAGGAGTCTTCTTTACGTACATTCCTCTAAAACCTCATTTCCAAAAAGTTCTGATGTTCATATCTACGAAACCCGTTATAAATCACATTATCAGATTCCCTACCATCGCATTAATATCTCACAAACCAGCACTAATCACCTAGCCATGAAATTATATAATAAATATAATATTGGGGTTATATATAGACCATCTAGGGAGAATATCAATAGTTTCCTTGACGCTTTTGAGGCGACACTGGGGTTGGTAATTCCTCAATGCGATGAATTATTTGTTGTAGGTGATATANTCAACAAAAGAAAGCATTACGGGTCTTAGCAGGTGAAAAGAGTACTGCTAGTTGCAAACCACTTTTTCAACAACATAGGATACTTACCTTATCCTCTATCTTTATCCTAAGGAGTCTTCTTTACGTACATTCCTCTAAAACCTCATTTCCAAAAAGTTCTGATGTTCATATCTACGAAACCCGTTATAACATTATCAGATTTCCTACCATTGCATTAATATCTCACAAACCAGCACTAATCACCTAGCCATGAAATTATATAATAAATATAATATTGGGGTTATATATAGACCACCTAGGGAGAATATCAATAGTTTCCTTGACGCTTTTGAGGCGACACTGGGGTTGGTAATTGTTTCGTAGCTCAAGTTGGTTAGGTTCTTTTTAAACACTCCCTTTCGTTTCTTTGACTTTATTAATCGTTAACAAAATAAAGATACACTTCTAAAAACACTGCTCAGCTCTACGCTTATTATATATGTCTGCTATATGAACAACACACACACGGAATGTATATCACGCACGCGTCGCCCAGCGGTACGGTGGGATGCCTAAACGCTCGGCGCTTCCCTCTCCCCAACACAGATTATTTTGATTGTAACATTTATTAATAAAATAGCATGCATAAATCTTAGAAATAACTTCATTTCCATTATGCAAGAGAACTTGATGGGGAATGTAATACGNGGTACTCAGCCAATTTAATTTTTGCGACACGGTATACGGCACTTGTCTGGATCAGGTAACTGCCGGCCGTATTCAGAAAGTTCAGAACGCCTGTCTGAGATTGATTTTTGGGTTGCGTTTGAGAGATCACGTTACATGTTTTTTGAAGGAGGTGGGTTGGCTTAATATGGCTAACAGGAGGAAATTACATCTGTTAACTTTTTATCATAAATTACTTTTATTTAAGTCGCCTTCTTATCTTTATAATAAAATATCATTCCGGACTGATGTTCATAATTTGAACATCAGATCCAAGGGCTTGATTACTCCACCTCAGCACCGCTCGGTTTTGTTTCAACGGTCTTTCTCTTTTAATCTACCCAGGCTTTACAACCCGTTGCCAAGTTCTCTTAAGTCGTTGCCACTGAGCACCTTCAAAAAAGGGCTCCGCGAGATCATTGTCTGTGACCAGAATGGGGCTAATGAGTAATTTATATCATTTTCGATTTTTTTTACTATGAGTGTTATTTTTATTACTTTCTTTCTGAATGGCTGTTTTGTTGGTATTAGTATTATTGTCAAGATCGAATGTTTTATGTTTTATTTTTTGAATTTTTGATTTTTTTTTTTAACGCAGGGTTGGGTGGTAGAGAGGACTATGGTCCTAACTCCGCCCTGCGCACATTTGTAATCTTTTTTTTTTCTGTTGTTTCTATTAATAAAGGCATTATTATATTATATTATATTATATTATATAATAAATGCCCTTTGCCAATAAAAAATATGACTAATTGTCGCTTCGAAAAAGTTGTACTGCGTATCCTGAAGGCTGGCGCTTTCTATGATGTGGAGGAGTTTCTTCAACTACCACCTTCGGAGATGGAGTCTTATATTTAGTTTTGTAAACTATATAATTTTTTTTTCTCTTTATATACATTGCTTTGTTTTGTATATATTTATATTTTTTCTCTTGACGGGGCTTTATCTGTTTTATATTTTCTTTTATTACATGTAAAACATTTGTAAGCTGAATAAATGTTATTATTATTATTATTAGTAGATAAAACTGAAGTAACACAGGATCAGAAAATATTATCGAGCAAATGGATTTTTAAAGCACAACAGTTAAAACAATGTAAATGAATATTAGATCTTAGCAAATCTTACTACCAAGTCGTGTGTAAATTTACTACTACATAAATAGAAATCACAATAAAATCGTATAACGTGATTGGCGCTTAGCTTTATCCTTTAAAACAAATAGTATTTTAGGTCTTTCGGTATTCTGCATTTTTTCTAAGATAAGTTACACCTTTACCTACCAGACAGTCATATAGTTACATGTCGCCTAGTCAAGTGATGTATAACGCGGTCTAATTATATCTTTTAAAAGTATTGTATTATAAATTTCTTGTTGGATGTTAATTAAAAATTTTTTTTTTGTAGGAGGCGTATCGAAGATGGGTGTGCAGCTCGTTGGTGCCACACTTCACAAGTCCAGGGCACAGGGTGCGGCCGTGTCTCAACGTCTGTCAGAACGTGGAAAAGCAGTGCCCTTACATGTTACCAGGGGACAGAGCCCCAGCACATCCTACACAGTACGCCGGCGAACCGACCTTCCTCTGCCTCGGTACGGTAATCACGTACTCGTCCTCCTAAAACCCTCGACCTACCCCCTGTTTACTCCTCAACCCCCTACCGTAGCTAATCTGATCGCGCAACACAAGAAAACGCCAGTACGTATGTATAATGGACGACACTTTAATTGATAATGGAACTCGGACAGACGCGACGCCCCAAAGCTTTAGGGAAAATAGGAAACCGTCCGTTTTACTTCAACAATTTGTATTGTCAATTTCGTAAAGTGCGCCTCTTGTTTATTCATCAACCCAAAATGCAAATTGGTTTTCTTAAATTTGGTTTAGAATGATTTCGGTTAAAAAATTATTTGTATTAAGATTGACTTTAGTAGTTGAGTGTAAAAGTTCTGATGGTGTCTTGTTTTTTGCCTTTGGGAGGACTCGCTCCAGACCGTAATCTACATCATGACCCATTTTTGAGAGGGGTTACGTAATAAATGCACTCCGAGAGGTCCGCGCGATCGCTTATTCATGAGAAAAAACCCAGTTCCCTTCCGATAACTGCCTGCGAAAGATCGAAACTGCTAAGGTATAATGAGCACTTGGTAAATTGGAGAAGAAGTAAATCTTGGATTTACGACTTTTGCTAGTCAATGCACTTTTAAATCTTATATCTTTAATAATAATCATCTTAATCCTCGTTTAAGATCCTTCCCTTTGACGAGATGTGTTATTATGAATTTGAAATATTTATACGTGCATTTAACGCTTTGATACAGACGGGGGCGTAATCTCGTTTTGGGGTTCAATCAATAATTCAGGGCCCCTGCTTAAAGCTATAGAGACAAGCGCCCTCTCCGGATTTGAGCGACACCGCAGCTCCTAAGACACTGAACGAAGGTCGTATCTCAATCGAAACCGACGCCTCCACCATCCAAAATAGAGAACTGCAGATCATCTTATGATTGTGTTTCGGAACCCACCCTGCCAATCCAAATTATCCTTAATTGACGGTGTTATTAGTATACTCGTCCATTTCGCTTCGCATTATTACTTATCCCACCCATATTTTCCCATTTAATTGATTAAACTCCACTTTTATCTGAGTTATTCCGATAAATCCCACTTTCCTTTGAGAGCGATTTAGTAAGTTCGAAAAAAAAACAGGATGAAGAGAGGCAAAAGTCAAAGGACTCAAAAAAGGACAATAAAACCGAGAGGACGAAGTGAACTCTCACTTCATTAGGATCGATCGACGCGCCGTATGCAGATAAGAGCCGAAAGACTTTTCTGGTGATTTGAACTGAACGCACAACGAAAAAAAAAAGGAAGGATCAATACCTTTTGTACAATCTATAGTTTTGGGATTATTTCTTTCAGCCGTAAAACAATTTCAAATTTTTTTTAGGGGATTTTTCAGATTCTACTAGTCACTTCGGTTTCGACGAGGGTCGACGTTCAATTTCGGAAGCACCAGATTACACCTCGACGACCATGACGCGATGTCCTTTTCACAGCGTCCGCATCTTTAAACTTTAAATTCTCTATCTAGTTAACTTTTGAGTTGAAATAGATTGTTCTTCTACAACGTGGTAAAATAGATTTCGTTGAAAGTAAAAATTTTCTATCTGGTTATCTTTTATATCGATCCCAATATGTTTGTTCTCTTCAAATTTGATATGTGAAATGTTACTATCTGAGATACCGTTTTTTGTAGTAGATCTTATAATTTTAAATTGATTATCGAGGTAATTAGATCTTCAACGAGTTGCAATTTTTTCCAACCTTTTCCAACAAGAACAATAAGTTAAGTAAGGTTGTTTTGTAAAACTTCAAATTCTCTCTTCTAGTTATGCTACTAATGTGCAACCTTTGCTTATGGATAATTCATACGAAAACAAATTATATGCAGATTGGTACCATAGATATGAGTGGTTCAATTTTAGTGTCGTTCAAAGCTGATTACGAATTGATTTCAAAGTTAGATTAGCGTTTACACACTATATTGAAACTGATTCAAGGTTATTAACAACGTTTTGCAATATTTCAAAATGAAACCAAGAAAATTTTTCTTGCTATTATGCATCAGAGTTTCAAATTTAAACTAATTAACTGTGATTAGTGGACCTGATATTTTACAATACATATAAAAATTATTTAACTATTCTATGATAGTTTATAACACATTTTGCAACACAATTATACAACATTTATAAAATTATTATATAAACATGTTAAACAATTTTTGTTGTGGTTTTATAGATGTTTATATAACTATTTTATAGTAGATCAAGACACAGCTATAAAATAATTGAAGAAGACTAATATATTATATAAATTGTGCCTATTTTGGTGCTATAGTTGTTTTATAAACATTTTTATTACGTTACTGAGACTAAATATGTTATACAGGGTGATTCATATAAGAACCGACACAGAGCAGGGACATGTAGAGGACAATAAATTAAGATGATTTAACGCAACTGATCTCTATACCAAGTTGTCCCCTGAAAAGTTATAGGCCTTCAAAGTTGGGTCTTAAATTTTTAAAACATTGAATATCTTCGTAATACATTAAGCTAGAAAAACCAAATTTGGTATACGTTATGAGTGTACCGAGGGTATTAATTGGTAGCAAGTTGAGACCAATTGAGGCATTTCAAAGGGTTGATTAAGGGCGATGGTTTCCTAAATTTTGGCAGATTTTTTTAACCTTTTTGTGGATTTAATACATTATTACCTCATTTCATGTGGAATTTAATTCTAAAACATTTTTTACTCTTACTATTTTTTAAAAAACATTGTCGTTTTCATAAAAAACTCAAAAAACTAAAGACGCGTATCTTGTTAATGCTACTTAAAATCATCGAAAATTCAGTAGTCCGCTGTGAAATTGTACGTAATTTGAAAAATAAACTGTTTATTATGAGCTAAAAAGACATCATCCATAAACCAATTTAGTTTAGGCATAATAATTTTCTAGTGATAAAGAGAAAATCCCCAAAATGTGAAAATTAAGTACTTTTGGTTTTAAAATCGATCATAACTCAAGAATGAAAGGTGATGACGAAAAGTTTATTAGAAATAAATTGTTTATTATGAACTAAAAAGACATCATCCATAAACAGATTTGGTTTAGTTATAATGATTTTCTAGTGATAAAGAAAAAATCACCAAAATATCAAAATTGACTACTTTTGGTATTAAAATAGATCATAACTCAAAAATTAAAGATGATGGAGAAAAGTTTATTTGAAATAAATTGTTTACTATGAACTAAAAAATCATCATCCATAAGCAAATTTAGTGTAGGTATAATGATTTTCTAGTGATAAAGAAAAAATCACCAAAATGTTAAAATTGAGTACTTTTGGTATTAAAATAGATCATAACTCAAGGATGAAAGGTGATGGAGAAAAGTTTTTTAGGAATAAGTTGTTTATTGTCAACTAAGAAGACATCATCCATAAACAAATTTAGTTTAGATGTAATGGTTTTCAGGTGTTAAAGAGAAAATCCCCAAAATGTCAAAATTGGGTACTTTTGCTGTTAAAATCGATCATAACTCAAGAATGAAAGGTGATGGAGAAAAGATGGAGAAAACCTTGTCGTCAAATAACTTTATAACTTTGTCGTCAAGTTTGACGTACAATTTCATAGTCGACTACTAAATTTTCTCTTATTTTAAGTAACATTACGAAATACGTGTCTTTAGTTATTTAAGTTTTTTATGAAAACGACAAAGCTTTTTAAAAAATAATACGGGTAAGAAAAGTTTTAGAATTAAATTCCACATGAAATGAAGTAGTAATGTATTAAATCCGCCAAAAGGTTAAAAAAATTTGTCAAAATTTAGGGTACCATCACCCTTAATTAACCCTATGAAATGCCTCAATTGAGTTCAATTTGCTACCAATTAATACCCTTGGTACACTCATAACGTATACCAAATTTGGTTTTTCTAGCTTAATGTATTACCAAGATATTGAACTTTTTAAAAATTTAAGAGCCAACTTTGAAGGCCTATAACTCCTGAGGTGTACAACTAACTATAGAGGTAAGTTACGTTAAATCATCTTAATTTATTGTCCTCTACATGTCCCTGCTCTGTGTCGGTTCTTATGTGAATCACCCTGTATAAAATTTATCACGGAAACGTTTTTACAGCTTTAATAAAATAAGAAATTGCTAGTTGGGTTCAACTATAAGGGTTGACTATAAGAATAAGCAAATAATTTGAATAATTTGAGAGATTTCTTGAAACAATATTCAGTACTCCTTATATTTGCCCAACTAATTGTTAAGGTACAAAATTGCATTTTCAGGGTTTCTTTTAATACCGATTAAAATACATTATCGATTATTATTTATATTATTAAAATATAATATATTATAAATTAATTGGGACTCCTCTCTGATTGTTAAGTACTTCATTCGCTTTTATAACAAAAGTTGAACTTCATTACATTCCGGCTACGTTTCATACCAATGCATTGTTGTCTCCAACACAGTAAACGTTTAAGGTTTCGAAAAGGCACATCATGACAGTTCTCGTCTACAAGTCTCTTCACTTTCACTACCATCTTAATCTCTAGACACTTCAGCTAAGCTAACAATTCCGTTGTCATCATACATTTCACAGCTTACATAATTTTTATCCATGTCCAATCATTCCGCAGCATCAGATTCGTCATGAGAGAAACTATTAGTCTTTGTGGAAAGCGTTCGTACGTTTGTAATAGAGGTCTTCCATCTCAATTTTACTAGGATATAGTTAATTTGAGTTCTATGTCGACTACCTGGGGATGTCCATTTGTAAAGTCTCTTTAGATGGTGTTGAAAACCTGCGTTTGCGATGAAGAAGTCGTTATCTATGCAGAACTGCAATTTTCCCCTAGCGTTTCGGTCATTCAGACCAAACTTGCCAATTACTCATTGGCGTTGGGGCGTTTCCCATTTTGACATTGATATTATCATATCGCCAATTATCATCGTAATTTCTCTGGCAATATACTTCGTCCACATCTTCGTCTCGTGCGTCAATCTTGGA